GTTTACGTCGAGCCTGCTTACCAACCTTCATACTTAAGTCTTTTGAGGCCTGCACTTACTTCTTATCGCAAGTACCAGGCCCACGTTTGGTCTACGGGCCGGTGCCCTCTAAAAGAGCAGACGACAAGCAGAAACGTTTGAAAGAGCAGACGACAGTTCGAACGATCAGGTGGCCGTTTGAACTTGAAGACGCACTGAACGTGGTCCACAGGTGGTCCGTACAACTTGACGATTTTACGGCGCTCATTTTGGAACAAAACAAATAAATTTGATGACCAGAAGTATCCGTGAATTCAACCAAAATGCTTCCCGCCCAAGCAATCGTGGTACGACGGCGTCTGGTTTTCCCTTTTCACGGCACATATCCGCGTTTTCGGACGAACCGAGCGCATGAAAACTGACCTTCACATCTTTCTCGACACTTTTGGTACAGCCCCAGTCGCAGCATTTTGACGAGAAGGCAGGTTTTTGTCTGGTTCCTTTCAAAACAACGCAGGAATACACGTCTCACATGGGCACTTCCGCCCACATCCCCGGACCGGAAGTGCGTCCGACGCGCCACCACCGCGGCGTGACGTAAAAGAGATGAGTTCGTGTACAGGGAGTATTCACTGGCGGCCATAGCTGTGTGCGCGAAGGCTGAGCACGTGCTGATGGCGAGCTTCCGCAGTTCTTTTGCAACGTGCATTCCGCACCATCAAAAGTGCCGGTCTTAGCAGCCTACTGATGTGAGCTTGTTCTGAGCATGCGCTCTAAACAGTACCCACAAATATGGCGTCCAGTGAATACCCCCTATAGTGACAAATCGAATCTGTCACGCGCCCATGGGCTGACGAGCCTGATGAGATGCCGCGAGGAGAGCAGGTCAGGACCATAGAGCGCTGCCGTGCCTTGCGCGCCTTCGATTAATATGCAAATGCCCTAAAAAAACACAGTTTTGCAGGGCCGCAAAGTCATAGCGTGACGAAACGCTGCGGCCGCGGCCATGTACTAGAAGATGCGCGCTGGTACACCCTTCTGTGGGCATGATAGGATTACAATAGTTCGTGGTTTGGAAAAGCCGGACGAAAGCTTTGTGCGCCAAGAATCTCTCAGGCCATGGTTGTGTGTATGTTTGTATACAGGCGGAAGCTAATCAGCCTCGATGGGCGTCTGGTGCCTCAGCTGTGAGAAATTTAGCCAGAGCAGTAGACCCACTAGCCTGGGGCCAATACACAGATGCGGCACCTAGCAAGGCGCTGTGTTCGCTTCATCCGGATGGTCTGGGACCCACTCCCTCACCACTTACCCCCTCCTCCTCTCTCCACTCTCCTTCTGCGTCTGAGCAGACTCCTCTTCGGTCGGCTGCGGTATATCATCACGCCGCGCACCACGAAGGCGCTCATTGCACCATCACCGAGGCCCATAGAAGCCCTGGCCCTGCTCTGGAGTGCCACTGAGTCGCCACACGATTCCCTGTTGTACACAGACAACCAGGGCCTGTGTAGGGCGCTTGGGCACGGCCACGGCAATAGAATCGACTGAAGAATCTCCAGTTCTATTTTTTTAATTATGTATAAAAAAGAGGCTTTCAATAAAGTGGACCCTGACAAACAACAACCCTGCCGACCTGCCGTCGCGCCTTTCGTACACGTCATTTTTTTTTAATGGTTCGCAGGTTGGTAGGTTTGTGACGGCACTGTTTACGATCCCCAACCCTACCGGTTTCGATCTGGATGGGCATCGTACCGGCGTGCGGTCATGTATCACTACGGCGTGATGCATGTAAAAAGACGCCTGGCTAGCGGCTGTACTGCTCTGGCTACAGTTCTAGGCTGTATAAACATACACACACCCCAAATCCCTTTTTTTTCTTTTTTTGACGGCACTGTGTAGGGTTTGGGCATTGCGCGTGAGCTGCAGCTGCCACGCGTAGGCGCCCAGTCTGTGTTTGCCCGTGGCACCGAGAAACAGTGCCGATCGTCAGAGAAGCGGCGAAACCGGTGGAACGTTGAATACGTATTGCCTGCGGTGGAAAGTGATTATCTTGTGGTTTTCTTGTGGTAAACAAAACATTTGCGCAAAAAGAGCGTCGTTCGAAAACGTTCCTTTTCAGTTACAGCGTTGACACTGGTGGCGCTAGGAACGCTGTCCGCCTAATGTCCGCCCATACCTGCTCGCGCGCAGGCAACGGAAGAAAACCGTTTTTGAACGTGGCTCTCCGTCGAGCTTGTCAACTGATAACTTTAAGTACGTTGGTCAAAGCCATGGGTTCACGGGCGCTTGAGCACCATGAGCGCCGATAAAAGCTGCGCACCTGTGCAAGCACACTCGTCACTTCATCAAAAAAAAAAAAAAAAAAAAGCTCGCGTGGCAGTTTATCAACACCCGTGGAGTGGTCCAAAGAGGAGAATTATTTTAGAAACTGAAACGTTCTGAACGGCACCAACGGTAGCGGCGCACAATAACAGAGTCATTTACACCCGAACACAAATAGAGAACGCGGTCGGGGTCACGCAAGAAAAAAGGTGAAGGTATATTCTTTTCATATAAATCCTCCGCCTTTTCCGTATGTTCCCTTCTAGCTTGCCGTTGAAGTCTTTCTTTTTTTAGACATCTGCTTTGGACGGTGCGAGGAGGTGCGACCTTGCACTTTGAGAGCCGCTTCCCAAAATGGCCGGCGTTATAACCCTCACAATAGGCTCGTGATGGACTTAATTTCCGGCCCGCTGCATTTGCATAGGCCGACCCCATTCACGGCAGATTGCGAGCAAAGGAAAAAACTGTTTGGAGCCACCGCCACCGCAGATAACAGATTACGAGCAGCCTCCTGCGGCCCCTTTCCCCATTTACAGTCGCTGCTACCCGTTGCTGACGTCACGAGATCACGTGATGTGTAGTCACGGCCTTCGATCAATAAGGATGGCTCGGTGCTCTTGGAGTACGGGGGGCATAGGCCTGCGTAATCCGGGGGAACTTGACGACGGGAAAAGCGACGCCAGGAAAGTGTCATATCGCTCGCACTCTTCGAACTGTATAGACGATTCCAATAATCGCTATCTTCTGAGAGTGCACACGCAGCTCTCCTCTCGGCGGAATACAAAACACCGCGCATGCGTCCACGGCCCGGTGACTTGGTGTTTTTTGCCGGTCACGAACGCTGAAAGAGTTCGGAGTGGCGCAAGTTCGTCTGCTTTTCCAGAGGGGTGGCGATGATGTCAGAATGCCGAGCTCTTATTGGCTGATTGAAAACAGAATAGTGGGTAGACCTCAAGGCATCTAGCATTGAGGTCCACCCACTGTCCTTTCAATCAAAGCCAATCACAGCTCGGAGTCGTCCTGACGTCACCGCATCCCCCAGCGCAAGAAGCAGACGACTTGCTTTCCGCATAGTCACTGGCTGCTCAAGATACGCATGCGCGTGATTTATTATGTTTACTCCTTCGCTTCGCGATTCGTTCTTTGGTGTCCTTATCGGAAAGTCCTACAATATTATTCGCTGCAGGGAGGTAATAATAATACTGGAGACTCGCCACGGGTCAGTGAATATGATATGGAGCAAAGCAACACAAGAGAACATGTGATAAGGCAAAATGGTAGCAGCTGACGTCAACATGTCGCATGCTCCTTAGCAAAAAAAAAAAAAAAAGATGCATAGCAGATGCTTATTTGTTTGCTAGGCTTTTATTTGTGTCGCTTTTTTTATGAACTGATGAGTTCACTGCAATATATTGTGATATATCGTAGCGTAAGTCTGGTAATGGGTGCAATTCCACAAGACACGAATGTTGTTTGATTTCATCTAGTTTATCGGAAAACCGACTTCCAGTTTTTTTACTTGGACATGGGCAAACTAGACTGCCTTCGGGGAGTGTCCTTTTTGGTGATCGAGTGGCTCCTTTCAGCATTATTTTGGCGCGCGCGCGCACTTTTAAAACCACACTCTGGAGAGAGAAAGCATGGGCTAAGCGGGAAAATATGCAAGTCTCCAAGCTTCTCAAACCTGTCATTTGAATGTTCTTTTGTGTGTATCTCCGCTTATGGGCACCTGAAATGTAAGAAATGAGTGGTGTTAAATATCATTTGAAAGCGTCGAGCTCTTCCATTGTAGGAACAGCAAACTACAATTACGAATAACTGTGTTTTTCGTGACTGTCCTCTATGATAAATAACGTCTTTCTTAAAAAAAAAAAAAAGAAAAACAAGAACAAACTTTAGCAAACTTGTTTGTGGCCAATCTTCGTAGCTTCACATTTTTTCGTTTCGAAGAGGACCAGCAGGTGCTCTCGGCCTCGGTCTTCAGAGAGCGATCCATCCAGGCATAAACGTTCATCAGAAACCGTCGGCCAGTCCGACGGAATTCCTTCATCCCACACCGGCCTCTCTGATTGCAAACCGGAGTCGGCAAGCGCGGTCACTCAGCCGTGCCAAAGCCCCGGTTTCCTGGTGTGGCGACTCAGACCAGAGCCTCACTATGACGTCACTTGATCACGTGGTGCTACGTCACGCGATGCGATCGATGGGAAGGGGCGGGTCTTCTAGAGTGCCTAGAGTCAGGACAGGAAGTAACTCAAGCCATGGAGGACGTTGGCAATGTAATGGCGGACGCCTTTTGCTCCGATCGGCTGGATGCGCGCGCGCGTGCGTTGTCGAGAGGCAGTAAAGAGACGAAGGAAGGGGGCGACGCTGGCAGACGATAGACGCTTTCGTCTCCTCCTCGCAGCTCGCGTTGCGAGACGCGGCCAATAGACCACGTGAGCGAGGCTACCAGTTCAAGGAGAGTAGCTTGGAAACACTCTGAAACCTAGGCACACTAGGGTCCTCGAGCGACGGCAGTGCCGCGAACGCGACGGCGGCGATGGGGGAGGCCAGCAGGCTGCAGGGCCGGCAGGGGAGCCGTTCCGACACCGACGGCTGGGCGACGGCGTCGGTGGAGGTCTCACGCTAGGCCTAAGCCCGTCATGCAGGGCGGCCCAAGATGTGCCGGCTCGCTGAGGTAACACTGACCGGGCCGCACTGCCATGAAGCGGCAAAACGTGCGTACCCTGTCCCTGATCGTGTGCACGTTCACGTACCTGCTCGTGGGAGCGGCCATCTTCGACGCACTCGAGTCCGACCACGAGGGAAAGATGAACAAGACGCTAACCTACATCGAGGACATGCTGGTGCGCAAATACAACATCAGCGGTGACGACCGCAAGATATGGCAGACGGTGGTCATCAAGATGGTGCCTCACCGTGCGGGCACCCAGTGGAAGTTCACCGGGGCCTTTTACTTTGCCACCACCGTGCTCACCACCATCGGTGAGTTGCTGGCCTCGTGGTCCTTGTGGGCTGGTCTGGTGGACCTACTCGCGTGGAGGATGCATCGCTCTACTTGTGCAGTTTCTAGCCTACTCGCGAATTGGTGCGGTTCATTCACCTGTTGAGCGGTCCCTGAAGAGCAACAGGGCGGTCGATGGCTGTGACGTTTGTCTGCTTAATGATTCATCTGACCATGATAGCTGGACGTGGATGCGGCTCTGCGCTAGTATGAGTCATAGGCGTACTGTAAAGGTGTGATAGAATACCTCCGATTTTATTCAAATGCTGTCTTAACCTTACCTCGTGCTGTAAGGCGACGATTCGGGAGATGGCCACGCTACGGCTATCAGAATCCATAAAAAGCTAGTAGTTCATAAAAGAAAAGGCGAAAGCCAACGTTGTCTTAGTAGCTCGCTTATTTCTTTTTTTTTTTTCGAAATTTTGTGGTTGATGTAACATACAGTGCAACCTTGAATGTGTAGTTAAATGACCACACATGAGGGGCCGAAAGGAGGCAGGGGCTTTCCGTCTAGCTTCACTAGCACAGTAGAGAAAACGACAGAGGTAGGAAAGAACGAAAGTGATACGTTGCCAATAATAAGAAATCATGCGCATAGAAATGATATGCTGTTTAACAGGTGATTTTAGACCTATCCTCGAACTGTTTATTCGCGCTGTGAAGAGCAACATATATCATATTCGTTCAATAATGAGAGCGATCCTATTTCCAAGATACATATTTTGGGCTCAGTCATACTTGGTGGTGGGATATTGGTTGGCGAGTTTTGTCTTGCACACATTGGCTACATTGATATGTCACAGAAGCCTCATAAAATATTTCTGGTTCAACAGATTTCTGATTATCCTTCAGTAAATCAACGTTTTTTATGTTTTTTTCTTCTTACCGTAATGGTTGGATTTGGGCGATTGCTTTGCGTATGGATTCGTTCGGAACTAACATCGCCGGCAGGTTAAGGATGCAGAAGTTCAACCATCCTGCACGTGTTCCCAGCCTTCCGTCGTGCTTTCGCTCTGCGTGCTCACGATGACACCGAAGTGTTATTGAATGCACGAAGCTCGCGCTGGAGGCACACGTGAACGCGCATCTTCCTGCTCGAGCTCTTAGCTTGGACCGGTGGCTCGCCGCCATTTTTTTCTCACTCTATAATATTCTTTTGCAATTTTCCTATCGATCAGATGCTGCCCGAGTTGAGTACTACAAGTGTCCTTTCCCTAAAACCGTGGTCCCTCTGCTATAAGTACCATCGTGCAAAAAACCGTCTACATGCAGACACTGTCCGTGCTTTTTCCTTGTATGACGTCACATTTGTCATAGACAAAACTGCCTGCAGAAATGTTCGAAGCATGTGTGAAGCAAACGTGCTTCGAATAGACCCCTTTCAAAAGTGTGACAACTCTGTGCGCCTCGGGCAACAGTGTGCGCGCTCTCCATGGTGAAGGAATGTTTGTTTTTTTCGGCCCGCTGGCTGTGCGTGAAAAAGTGGCATGGCAAATGAAGTAACGCGGCTGTTTCCCGCCCCCGGCTGGGAAAATAACCTTGCTAGCTAGCTTGCTGAAACCTGAAAACAAAGATGGTGAGATGATGACAAATCATGACAAATATAATTAAATCATGATGTGTCTGCAAGTCCCCACGAAACTTGCATAAAAAGATGCCCTCAAGGGGAACCTAATGCGGTGCTGTTCCAATTCTGCATGGAAGCATAAAGTAAAATGGTGTTAGTGGATGCCTCAGTAACATAAAAGAAGAGTAAAAAAAAAAAAACGCGCCTGCAAGGTAAAGATTTTTTTTTTTTCGCGCGTTTATTGTTAAAGTGTAGAAAATGTTCGTTGGACTGATACGGGAATTCGACTGCTCGTTTAGCCTCGCCAATGCTAACTGTCTACCGAGCAACACCAAATAAATGTGCGATGAAATAACAACGTAGTGTATGAAGCAACTGCAGGCAAAATTGTGAGGCTGGCCGAAAGGCAACGCATCCGTCGGGTAAAACCGACGCTCATTTGTCCGCGTCAAACGTATACCTGGCTAACAGCAATAGTAAAGAAAACTCAAAGCAGTATAATGCAGAACTAATATATTATCCTGATTAAGCAAATGCATGAGAATTTGTGAGGTTAGCCAAACGGTCGCGGCAGCGGACGGTCCGATAGCTACATATAGGTACTCCCTTCCGTCCGAATTTGTCAGTGTATCCATATTGCGTGCAGACCGGGACACAGCACTGTGTTGGCATCTTCACTGATACTCTGGGGCGCGTAAACTGTCCTTAAAGCAACACATGAAGCGCCTAAAGCTCAGTTGGCGCACAGCGAGATTGCGCCCTGCTTTCCTTCACCATGTCACGCAACTGCTGACCACCTCGCTGTTGCCATGGTTACCATGCCGAGAGACACTGTTGCCGGGTTTTCTACAAGGGGTCTATTGACGCTTCAGGCGTCTCTGAAGGCATGCTTCTTCCGGCATGCTTCTGCCGGTACGAGCAGAGTGACCACGGCACCACGCAGGACAGACGTACTCTGTCTTCTACTCACTATCCCTCGATGGATGAAAGACGACGGGCTCGCGAGGGTTCTGCAGGTGTTGCAAGAGCCGTTTTAAAAAGGGGTTGGAATAAGAACATTCGTGAACTGCAAATCAACAAATGCATTTTTATTAGAATATCTCTGACTACAAAATGCAGAAAAAAGATTAACACACTTTATTTTATTTTATTTTACAGGAAATGATCTGTATCTAGACTCTCGCTTCGGTTGAACGTAGCTTGATTTTTTAATATCAGCCATCTGCTTGCTCCTAGACTCACGCATATATATATATATATATATATATATATATATATATATATATATATATATATATATATATATATATATATATATATATATATATATATATATATATATATACACAGTGCACGAAACCGCTAATGAAAACGTGACATTGGTGTCTGTGTTGCAATTTTTTTTAGTTCATTTTCCGCCCAAGAGAAAAAGTAAGGCGAAAAAATTATGTAATTTTACCACTTCATTTTATTTTTCTTGAGCAGGACATTCCACCACGGTAGTAATCTTGATCAGGACCTTTCAGTTATGAAAAGAAAAGAAGAAAAAAAGTCTGGAGATTAGACGTGCACTATTCTTAACAATGTTTCAAAAGTACATTAAAAAAAAATTTTACGTTACACGGGTTTTATCATAAGCGCCCTTTTTTTATCTGCCATCTTTGTGATCGGGAAAGCAGACGATGAATCGGCACCTGTTCTGACCGGCATACCAGTTCACGACAAATTCACGTAACCGTACTTCGCACGCGTAGAGCAAAGAAGACGAAGAAGAAGAAAAAAAAGCGCTTTTTGTCTGTAGGTGATTTCCTAGGTCTAACGTATACGTTCAACAGTGTGCGTACAGCGTCCTGCACATCCCTCAGCCGCAGTCACACCTCGTACATCATACAGCAGGCACGGAGTTTCTCCGCAGACAAAATGGCAGAATTCTCTGCGGACACGACTCGGCCATCAATTCGAAGCACGTTTCCTTCTTACCTATGCATGCTTCGAATATGTCTGCAGAGATATTTTTAATGACTTATGTGACAGGACCCTAATACAAGGGAAGAAACGCACCTCATACAGTGTTTGTAGACTGTCCTTTGTAGGATGTATTGCGTTTAAAGGCCGACGACCAGACTCGACATTCTGCAAGGCAGAAGATCCTCCTCACCATGGGGGAGGAGGAAACAGGCAACGGTGGACAGGGTAGAAGGGGGGAGAGGAGGAAGCGAGAGAAAAGTAAAGCGCGAACTGGTCGTCGGTCTTTAAGGAAATTAAGAAAACAAGTACAAGCTTGTTGCGTTGGCCCATATGCAACATCTTCGACGACGTGTACATTTTTCGCAGGAAAAAAAGGCTGGTCTAACGGAAAGAAGAACAAATTTAAAGACTCATGTTGCCATATATCCTCCAAATAAATTATAGCGGTGGTAGCAGTGGTGTTTGACAACGCGTCATGCATTCGTACCGTGCAAGGAGGATTCCTATACCACTCCAGAGTTTTAAGCACGAAGCACCTACTCTTAATTGAATGAAACGAAATTAGAAATATTTTGTGGGGAAAATTTCTCCACACTGATTTAAGCGGGATGGATTTTTTCTCTTTCTCTCTAAGTTGAGCTACTTGGCCACGGCGAAGATCACACACGGCGTGAGACACACCGCCGATCAGCTGGTATTACGGACCATGTACGGCTACCGCCGTACAGAAAAAAAAAGGGGAGGTAAAAGAAAAAACGACGACACAGTTTGAAATTTGCGAGATACAGGACGGCACGTCTTTCCCGCGTGAAACAATAAATAACGATACATCTTTCATAGTTTCCTTCGTGAAAGGTGTGTCGTCGCGTCCGTTTCCTTGTTTTGTCCTTACAGTAACGTATCATTTCACCAAAGGTCCTCGCCTTCTGCTTAGAAACTATATACGTCGCTGGAAAATGTTAGGGAAAATACGGTTCTCTTCGCGCTTGCAGCAGACGACATGTCAGATGGAGCACCGCAAGTGCTCGGTCGATGAAAGACGGAGCTGTCGAACTTGGGATTTGCGTGGGGAATCGTGGGGATTGGGGTTTACGTGGGGAATGGTGAATACCACCTGCACGGTGCGACTACGTGAGCATGCTGTAGTTCGCCGAAAAATTTGAAGCCTTTCGTCGATAATCTACAGTTCGTTCAGTTGAAGGAAAGGTTTCGGGCTGGACCAACGCAAACTTCTCAAACTAAGCTAAACATTTTCTTTTTTGTGAGATTTGTGAGCAGAAATGTCTGTCCACATGAGCTTAGTGAGCTTAGTGAGCTTATCGAGCTTAGTGGGCTTTTGTGAGCTTAGCGAGCTTAGTGCGCAGAAATTTCCGCTTGAAGAACGGCTCATTGCGAAAATCTCTTTTTATATATTAATATTAGTGTTAAACTTACCTTCAAACAGTT